GGCCGAGCAGCGGCTGCCCAGCAAGAGGGGCTGCTCCTCGGCCAGGACTCTTCCAGAAGCATAGTCTTATTAAAAAAAAAAAAAGCATACATGAACACAAGAACACCGTTAAAATTCCTGTTAAAAAACCTCGAAGCGGTTTCCACCCCAGGCGGTGCAAAGCTGCACCTGCACTAACCTGCGCTGGGCTCCCCGGCCTGAGCCAGCCGTAGCCCCGAAGGAGATGCTGCCCACATGCCCTTCAGCCCGCTGTAGGCTACCGCGGTGCGGCAGCTGGCCACTTTCACTGATGGCGATCACTGCTAGTGAAAGTGAGAGCAGGCAACAACGAATACATGACGAAAGGTTAGGCCTCTTGCCTGAGTTTTGATACCGCAGGCACAAAGATGACAGCATCCGTAGGGCACCGGCAGAAAAACGGCCTGGCACTACACGAGCACCTCCAACAGCCAGCGCTTTTGGAGAGAGGGAAGTCTGGCTGGTTTCGAAGGGGCGACCCTGGTCGGTACAGGGCTGTATCCTCCACGCAGGAACGGGCTGACGTCCCTTCTTCCTTACAGGGAGGCAGGTAAGAGACTGAAAGACGTGGAGGAGGGGGGAAAAAGGGGGGTTCAAAAGCTGGGTCATTCCTTTAGTAATCGTGACATATATAAGACCTTCCGCTATCGGCCTCGGCCACAGGAACGATCAGTGTAGCAACGAGTTTGCTGTTCCTTTTCTGCTGGGTAATCACACACTGGACCTGCACAAAACCATTCATTCCTCCTCCTCTGACCTATACTGGTTTTTTAACTACTGTGAAAGGGGAAGGGGAAAACATCTAATCTCCGACTAAACTCTTACATTAATTCTTGCATCTCAAACAATGCACACATAGGAAGATTTTGATATTATTTATCTGATCTGTAATCCATGTCTCTGTACAGTCAGGCTGAGGATAGTTATGTGGCCTACAAAGCAGTTTGCTCGTTACCCATAACAGAAACTGTATAATGAAACACCCGCTTTGCGGGAAGCTACAGATAACACGGTACTTCTACGCTTAGAGAATTAGCTGTAAAACATTAACTTTATATATGCTTGACGCTTCAAAATATAAGCTTTGTTCAAATCTCCGTCTTTATAACATTTATGGCAAGGTAATAACAAACGTTACAACTAAGAATTCGCACACAACACGGTGTTTTGCAGCTGGTGGTACATCTGGAATCCGCTGATAAAACTCAGCTTAGACCAATGTTCACTGCCTATAGCAAGGTATTTATTTCAAAAATATCAGCAAAATATTTTCCATCGACACATAATAAATACAGTACTATAAAAAAAATTCACAACCATTCAAAACTTCCAGAACAAGATGTTTTACATACATAAACAGCAAACATGCCAGAGAACTGTATTCTTAAATTCTGAACTGATCCCAAAAAGAAGAGTTCAGAAAGTTGAACAGATTTTTTTATACAGGTATTTTTTCAGCGTTAGCACAAAGTGCTTTGTAAACCACAGTTTTAATAAACTATCTTAATACTTATCACACTTGCATTATACATTATCTGTGGCACTAGTTAACAGATAACCACATTACAAAGTCCACAGATACTATAGTAGCTGACTAGAGTTCAGCTCAGTTCAGCTGCTTCCAGAAGAACAATTTCCTCCAGTGCAACGCAGTTGGGGTGGCTGGTGACGGAGTGGACGTAGCAGTTCAATAACCCCACCTCCCTTCCCAGCACGCTCTGCACCTCATAACTCTGCAGTGATAAAAGCATGTTGATTAAAACAAACAGTCCTGGACATTCTGTTCTAAGCAGCATTCGGCTGGGAAGATGCAGGGTGTAAGGTCCTCTTCCAACAGACAATTTTTTTAAGGACCCAAAAAGAAAGGTGCATTAGAACTGACGGAAAGAATGAATATGTTAGATTTTCAATAATTAGATCTCACTCCCGCTTAAAGTGCTGCTTCCCTACCAGGCTTTTAAAAATAAGCTGTTTTAAAAAAAAAAAAAGAAAGCTACCGTGACTTTCAACTCAGTTTTGCTGAAGCATAACCTACATGTGCTCCCTTTAGATTTCTGACACTTGTAGGATTTCACATGTGCTAGCAGTGTGTATATACGTACTATGTATCGATTACCTTAGCTAACTAAGATCCACTAAAGGAAAAAATACTTTGTAATTCTTTTTACCCCTCTCCCCCCTTTTAACTTTGTGTTGTATCATGCATCTTTTACGATCACCAGCACCTACACAGTCCCTTCTGTTTAATGATCCGACTGGCAGTTTACCCACATGAGTTGTACCTGAGCAGATTTGTAGAGACTGTATTCTGCATGGAGGAGAGGGATGCGAGGCCGGGATGATTTCTCTAAGAGGAGACAGCATGTTAACAGAAGAACTGGTAGCACCGACAGCTGATACCTCGCTTGAGAGGGTGTCTCAGATGGCAGGTTTACATCCATTTCTTTCCTCAATGGGACTTGCCTGCGACCAGCCTCTGACCATGCCCCCTGCTTTCACCTGGGCTGTGCATTTGTACAGGTATGGGATACCCACGTCTATGGCCTGGTTCAAGGTATAAACAACTCTTTTCCTTTTTTTTCCTAGATTATTTTTACCCCAGACCGGTTCTGCAGTCCAATTCACCATGCAGCTGCACAAACAGCTATACTGGTGTAACAGAAGGGCTGCCACAAGGTAAGGAACAAGTGGCCATGGCCAGTGACGGCTAAAACCAACCTCCCTGCCAAAAGGAGTGATGACAAAGCTACACCCTTAGAAACTTCAGCAGCACTGGCAAAAAAATGTCACCTCAAGTGGTACTTCTTGTGATTAATCTTTGTTGAGATGTGCTGCTTTTTAAAATGCAGCAGTTCAGAGAAGAAATGCTTGTGAAAAAAAAGAAAAAATTATCCCTGCATTTCAGCTAGGGAAAATAAATGCTTCTAAGTTGCCAGACTTCTAAATACTAGCATTATAAAAATTAAAACACGAAAAAGAAGTTGTTTGAATTCTAGTAACTCAAAAAAGAACTACGTTTTGTCAGTCTGTAACATCCTGTAAAACTTAGCAGGACTTAACTGCTATTAAAAGAGCAAACGTATTTTGGACATTTCTTGTCTCTCTCTGTTTAAATGAAATATACACCCTCCAGCATAAGAAAAGTAATTTACAATTTCAGAGAAGTGTTCCACTTTAAAAATTATCCATAAATCCCATTAAAACCATGGAGCATGTAATAGCAAAATGCTAGAAGACTGTATAAGATAGGGAAAGCAAAATGACCCCAATACGTGTCACCTAACTGAAGATACTTAACTGGGATGATTAAACAAGACAACGAGCTGACCTTTGCTCCCTTCCACGTGCAATGGAGAGGGGGGGATCTCGGGATCCTAATTGGACTTAATCACCCTCTGAAGGTGCCGCTCCTTCACTGCTGACCATCCAACAGCCAATGCCAGCCAGGCACCTACCCAGGTGCCTCCCTCACCTGCGATAAATCTGGGTCACTGTGCCAAATGTCAGGGTTCTTCTGATATCTCAGATTAAAGGAATAACTACTTCACGATTACATAAACTGTACTTTAGCCCATGGATCCCCGTGGCTTACACATGTTTCATTCATACAATGATAAATATTATCTTGCACGCGTTTTGCAAATTTCTCTACTATTACTGCCTGCCAGTAATTTCATGGTTGCGCTATTAGAAAGTAGTTGTGGTTTATAGGGTTTAGAAGACCATCCCGAAAAGGTGGGATGTTTGGACTGTATCTTTACTGCCTTTGGATCCTCAGCCAGAAAATGGAGTAAAGCCGAGCACTGCTCGTCGCCGCTCTGAATGTCTGGACATACTGCTATTTGCAGATAGCTCTGCAGTTCCGCAGCTGAGCTAAAGCTGTCTACACATCCCATCTGCAGCATCCCTCTTCTAAAAAGGAGGGTGTCAGCCTGATGATAGTCACGCAATAGCAGGGCATCAGCAGGTGGAAAGTGGGCTTGCCAAAGGGTCCAGCCCACTCAAATCCCAGGCTGGACACGAGAAAAAAATTCATTCTTTCTAGTGAAATCTCCTCCGCTTCTAGTGCAGTTCTGAAACAAGCTGCCTGGAAAGGCAGAATCTCCATCCCTGGAGCTTTTCAAGACCCTGCCAGCCAAAGTCACGGCTGACCTGCCCATGCATTGCCAATAGCCCAGTATGAGCGGTAGGTTGGACGATGACCTCCAGGAGTCCCTTCCATTTCTATGATTCGCGTATCTTCCCACCTGATTCACGTCTCCTGTACTCTGCCTCTACAAGTAAGTTATGTAGTTTAATTTTTTTTCGTCAACATTCATTATACTTACCCCATCCTCACTGGCGGAGGACATCAGGAGAGAAGAGATTGTCCTTTGTAACAGCTGGAATGAGAAAATTAACAGGGTTCGTTCATAACAAAAATCTTACGTATGCAAGGACGTTCTGTTCGCAGCTTAAAACAGTCACGTTGAACAAAGATTTATCATTTTAATATAGACTGGTTTTATTTCTCTGGCCAAGAAAACAGAGGAAGGCTGACACAAAAGATGTTCAGAATGGGAGTCTGAAAATACACGTTCCTTTTAGGCTGTGGAGACTGAGGTTTCCCAAGGCCCAACCCAACAAAGCCCTTCAGCTGGACCATAAAACAGTTTGCAAACCTCAGGGTGAACTTACTGACTGTACTATTTGAGTAAGATCTGGGAACTGGGTTCTTAGTCCAATGAAACACAAGTTTAATATCAGTTTAAATTATGGGATACTCTACATCTTTTGATTTTTCTTCTGACAGAGCTGTTTATGAAAGTGTGGCCTTGAGTACCTACATGTCTACGTATCTAGCCTCACTATACTCCATACACTGAAGCTCATTTCGTGCCATACCTTTACTTTTACTGTACTTTGAGATCGGGATGGACAGCTCAAGAAGACTTCCAGCTGCATTTTCAAAACTGGTGAAATGACAACTTCAGAGCACTGGCTGCAGTATAGCAATTCTCTGAAACACGCAAATGATGATGGAAAAACAGAGAGAAATTGAAAAGCTATCAGTTGTAAATCAAAGCACACAAAAAAACAGTTAGCTTATTCTCTAAAATACGTTGCTGGTAGACTTCTAGTAGGAAAGCCCTGGTAGACATTCAGTTGATAATAGCAAATAGAGCTCTTCTGTTGGTAGAACTAAGTAACTCTCTTGGAGGACCTAAACCCTTCTAGCAAAAGGATCTTCCTTTTATAAGTTTTGGCAACATGGGGGGAGGTTGCTATTTATAGTCACCCCACTTAAGCAAATACTAACCTCATAACCTTCTAGAAGTTATGGCAAAAGAGAATTTGTAGTTTAGATTTGGCCCAAGCAACTTATTGATTTAGGCCCTCATTCAGCAAACGTTCAACATTTTCAGCACACACTTAAGTCATATGCATAAAATTAAGCTCAGCTATAAGTGCTTGTTGGAATAATGTCTTAAAGAAATATCGATGCTACATTGTTCTCCAAATGAAGCAAAAGTGTCCTTCATAGTAGAGATTTTTTTTTTTTTATTGAACTGCACCATTATGTGAACGTACACACATCCTTTTTTTTTGCATGATAGTATAATATAGGACAACTTTTTTTTTATTTTCAGCCCTTTTCCCCTGGAGGCTATACATAACAAAGTGTAAGCAGTAAAGCTTCTCATATTTAGGAAAAAGTTATCTATTTCAATGGGATCAAACCCACCCAACTTCTCCTTATGCTTTTTGTAAGCTTCTCCAGTAGAAAGAACCCCCCTTTCCTTCTTTTTACACTCTGACTATTCTCTTATTTTCTCGTGGTTTTATTCCATCACGTATCTCAGACTCTGCAAGAGCAAGCTGGCTAAGCAGCTGAAGGGGAGGCTTTCCAAGAGCATGCAGGTTTAGCATTTCAGGTGGTAACAGGTCCTGTAGGATCAGTCTTCACATTTGGGACAGTCGTACTCCCAGAATTATTCAACATCCTTTTTAGAAAGGTTATAAATTTAATAGGTCTGAAACGCAACTCTTTCACACGTACGTAAATTACAGCAAAGATCACAGTTCAGTATAAAAATGAGATGAATTGGTGGTACACAGGGTAAGAAGGTAGGGTAGACAAAGACAAGAAGCTACTTTTGAAGGAGCTTAAAATTAGACCTGTGATTTATGTGGATGTTTATTAAAACTAATATTATAATGCAGTGGGCTATGAAATCTCTATAAGCAAAACTTTAAGATTAGTTTGAAAAAAAATGTGATAACTGCAAATTCAAACCATTTCATATCTACTTGTATCTTTCTTAATAAATTAATCTAACCTTGCAGGTTTTATCAGTTCATCAGCAATAAAAATACTACGTCTTAGTTCTAGGAAGGAACAAAGCGCAGCCTGTGCCTGCAGGAATCATTGCATCACCTATTGCTGTTATGGCTACATCTGCAAAACACCTGGAGTGCTCCGGAGCATGCTGACTCTCACCTGTCCTGGGGACACAGTTCCAACTTTCCATTGCCACATCTGTCGCATGTAGGCCAGGAGAAAGCAGTGCTCTCATTAACTCCAACAACAGTACCTGCAGAAGGTGAAATTCTTACAAAATACTAACGGTAAGCTAGCAAACACAGTCACTCCTGGCTTCACAGCAGGTTTGATCCATTCTGACTCTCAGCTTAAGAATAAGACTCGTCGGAGCAAGCATCAGTTCTTCCAACAGTCTCACTTCCTTTCTCCTTCGTCCCTCCAACAAGGGATGGCAGTATGGCTAAGTGTGTTACATTCTAAAACTACCAGAAGGTAGATAATTGATAATTAACTTTCCAAACAGGTTCCGTTCTTTTGGTTTGGGTTTTATTGGTTTTCTGTTTTTTATTGTTTTTATTGTTTTACTTTGTTTTCTTTCTGGTCCTCTGATGTTTCCTTGGCAATAAATAGCTATAAAAATCATCAGGTCAGATATCTTGATAGCGATATTTAGGAAACACAAACCAATGAGAAGACCCAATCCCTTTCGAAAACAACGATACAGGTTAAACTCCATTAACAATGGAGTTATTCTTCATTTATACCGATTTAACAGAGATTAGATCTGGGCCACAGATTTAAGTGTGTGTCTAAGAAGGGAATGCCAAAGATACTTTGGACTAATATAAAGGGCCTTGCTAGTTTTGGCAAGAAAAAATATATTCAGAATTTTATGAGAAGCCAATAAAGAGTGTATTATGTTTTATGGTAATATGCTGAAATTATGAGCATTATTTATGGAGAAAATACTTCTAAGTATTTTGAAGCACACAAAGTGGATCGCCTGTAAGAATGAAATTGCACTAAAATAAACCCTCACTGCTTCAACAGAAGTATAGACTAAAAATTCCAGCTCCCATTGAGCAAGAATCTCACAGTTTTATACCACATTCAACAAAAGAAACCCTTGGAGACTAGGGAGCATTTACACTGTCTGGTCTGTAAGACAGGGCATTAATCCCTTGCTTTCCTGGCTCTCCTGGGACAAGGACTGACAGGAAGGAGACAGCTACACATAAACAACAAACCCGTAATTTTCTCTGGGAATTCAAAGGACAGCAAGTCTGAAGATCAGGAAAGGTACTTCTCAAATACAACATTTATGACCCAATTTCTATGCATATAACGAAACAACATGGATTTGACTGACAGAATAAGCAATTCTGTGCATTTAACCCCTTGGACTGTTACAGGAATAATTTTGATTCTTCAGTTTTTGTGATAAACTGGGAGTTTCCATCAGCACTTGCTACTACAAGGTAGGATGCTTTCTGCCACAGCATGGGCACGTTTCTCTTGTTCATGGAAAAGAAAAGCTACCGATTAGTTTTCTGGATAGGTTTCCTTTTTCATTAAAAACTCATTTAAAAAAAACCAAACAAAACAAAATCCCCTTTCCTAACAGATCTGTTTCTCTCTAAGCCTTTTAACTTCCCCCAATTGTGTGCCATGTTGCAACTGCAGGATGCCGGTGCACAAGTAATACACGTACATGTGAAGAAAATGAATCGGGATCATACTGACGAGATTATGTCTAATGGAGACGTTTATTTTGATGACAACACAGAGTTCCCTCAAGAAAACCACCAGAGATCACTGAAGTCAGAACAAACACAACTGAAGGCGGCAACAGATCTAATAATCTAGGAACAGTCTTGTGCATCCTGCATGCAAAGTGATTTCTAAGTTTAAGCTGCTGAACTGCTGCACATCTTTGTCAAGACTAGATTTTGCTTGACGTTCACAAACCTTCTGGATGTTTCCCCGAGATCCTTTTTTAAAATGGAAATGCACATAGCCAAAATTTTATTTTTACCTCTAGTCTATTTTTATGGGTTGTGGCTGACATCATTAAGAAGAGACTGGTAATAGGACAACACCTGGAAAAACAGGTCTCTGGTGAGGAATGCAGAAAAGGGCTGAGGATTACAAGTAACAATCTGGTTGAAACGTTCAAAAAATGAATATGTATCTTTTTTTTTCCAATCAGTTACCCTGATTAATGGACAGGAAGGGGAAAAGTTCGATCAAAAAGAGAAACCTAGGTAAGTTGATTGACCGCATTTCACACTGTTAAGAGGGAAACGGAAAAAAAAACCACCCCTGAGTAAGGGTGTTGAGTATGAAAATATCCAATGTCAAAATTCAATCACTGGTGGTGAGTCATATATTAGCAAATATCATTAATCAAGTAATATTCCCACATAACATATGTCATACGGACTAACTAGAATTTGCTCATAAGCACGGTTAAGAGGAAAACCAGTTCTGTGTGGTATGAACTGCCAACATTTAAGTCATCCTGACTGCTACTATACAGCAAAAAGAGGTTAGAAATTACTTTGCAATGCGTAGTGATAAGAAAATAAATCTATTAACCCTGAGCTCACAGGTGAGAACCACAGACTCATCTTTAAAAGAAGAATAAACTATCCAGTAGAAAGCAACCACAGGTTTTCACTCCTCTGTTAAAGAGCAACACATTCCATTCCAGAGCTGATATGACTGGACCTCTCTGAAACAAGGATTTCTGACAAACTTAGTGGATCAGCTTGGATTGCAACATTGTCCTTTTAAAGCTGGGCCAGTTATAGAGTTGTACCAGGTTGCTCAGGGCGCAGCTTTGAGCAGGAGGTAGGACTGGAGGAACTTCAGAGGTTCCTTCCAACCTAACTTATCCTATTTATACACCTTCCAAAAAACGACCGATCTACCTAAAACCCAGCAGGCAGCATGGCCTGTGCCCCTCCCCAACCCCGGCACTCCTCGAAGCTCTGTGACCAATTGCTGCATCTCTGGGTGGGGACTTGAATGACCACTTGCATTTTTCACTGGTTAAAAAGAAGTTTTTCTAGGGAAGGTTGAGCCTGCTGAATCCCTGACAGCCATGAGTAGCAGCCATGACTGCAAAGGAGCAGAAGGAGCACTACTTCAAGAAGGGGGAGAGGAAAGCCTTTGCAGCCTTTTTGAGTGTTAGGTGAGAGGAGGCCCACGTACAGCATACGTAGGTGACCAAAAGTACAGGAAGTGAAAGGAGGGCACAAAGAAAAAGAATGAACGAGGTAATACTGCTTCTCATTGAAAGCCAGACTAACAACTCTCTGGGTTAAGAGACAGAGCAAATTAAGAGTGACTGAATTTTAGAGATGATAAATTTTCCTTCATGGGTTACTCCATCAAATACATATGCTCCCACCAACAAAGTAGGGTTAGTGCTATTCGTTTCACTTCTTCAGTAAAAATATGTAGGCAATAACTAACCGAATTCCAAAACACTGGATATATATCTTAAATGCGAAAATTAAATAATTTTAGTTACACATAAAAGTGAGAGTTATCATCTATATATAGCATTAGCATAGGTATAAAGAAGACACTTTATATTCTACATCGGTACAAATGTGTGGGAACACTCTGATAACAGCTACACTGGACAAATTTCAGATGAAGCAAGACAAGGTTGTAGAATTAATTTCCCTGTCATTCTTCCATCTGTAATACAGAACAGGGAAAGCGTGACACCTCGCATGTGTGTAAAGTAAGTGCTTGTTTACACAATAGATCACAAAGCTGCATTTTCTTTGTTCTACTGGAAAAAGAAAGGACAGAGAAATGTTTGCTTTATCCTACTATGTACACTGTCTATGGGACAAAAGAAGACAGGCACTTCTCATACTTAGTTATAAAATTAAGAGTGGAGAAGTGATAATTCTTAGCGTAACTATTGGAGAGGTTAAAAAAAAAAGCTACAAAGTATTTCACACCCAGTGACAGAAATATCTTTCAAGTAACTCACAATATCGATGTGAGATGTACATAACAACCCAGGCTTTGAGTGAAGTGCCTCTAGTTGTGCTTGTTTTTCATTATGCGTTGTTAGAGTTCAAGATTTGTCACTGCAAGGTGCTCATTTATTAATGACAGAGACATTGCTAACTCGTGGCTATACCATAAAAGAAAGTATGTTTAGTAACAGCTTTGCGTGGTTTCAAACTGTCTTTTCAGTGCATCACGTTACAGCTGGAAGGATTTATTTGTAGCCATTATTTGCTATTATTTTAAAGCTCATTTAAAATGCTCCAGTGAATACTTGAAGGTGTAAATGTAAAACAGTACCAAGAATTTTCTACAAGGGCTACTGGAATCATTAAGAGTTAAATTAAGAAAGGAAATTGTCTTTAAAAGCCAAGAGTTATTGGGCTTTTAAGGACTTTTCCCTATAGGCACTATACAACTAGGAGGTTTAAGAAGCTGACTGGACAAAGCATTAGAAAATACACAGTAGGAAATGTTTCCGCATGATTAGGAAATGTTAGAAAATACATTGTAAGAAATTTTTCTGCATGGTTAGTGGTAGGACTGAAATATTAGACAAAGCAATGATCCAAAGTGGCTGGTGAGCAAATATTGGCCAAGTTATGCTAGATGACTATGGTGAAATATTAAATTGCCCCATTGCAGCAAAGCTCCAGGGAAATCAGACACTAACCCCTACCATTCAGGATCTGGCTAACATATCTTATCCATCTGCCTAAAAAGTATTGGTATACTTTATTGTTGCCAACATCAACAAGGCTGGTGTGAACAGAAGGCTCCTGAAAGAAGACAGCAAAGGAAGGAATATAATAAAACAGATTGTGCATCAAACATTTATTCTGGGGTATGAGTGAGTGGGAGCAGAGCTTGGCCAGCAAAAGGCAAACAGAGCCCACAAAGAAGTATAAAAACTTAAAATATCCTAATGACCCACAGCAATACTGTGTTTTTTTATCCCTCCATGCTGTTTGTGCAGGAGATCAACATGAGGACCTAAAAGATTAAAGTGAGCACAAATAATTAACAGCATTCATTTCAGGAAAGGCCATACAAACCTCTTAAAACACAAATGGAGTTGGCCTGTGTTGTAGAATCCAGCTCATCGAGTCTGACAGGGCCAGTCAGCTCACTGAGGTCAGCACCGGCAGCCGAGTACAAAAGAGGCTTTTGTAATAAGAGAACAGTACGTTCAACACAAATAATCCTACCTGCCAACAAAGACATTTCAATTCAGTACAGTAACAAGGAAAAAGGTGACCATGTTAATTGTCATGGCCAATAAAGACAACGATCTCTGCCAGCTACTAAACAGATGGATAGACTCCATCAGGTTTTCTCAATGACAAAATATTTTGCTTTCAGCAACACATGCATCATGCTCTCGTTACACTTTGCAGCTCCCAGGGAAAAAAGATGTTTTAAAAATTCTAACATGGCAGAAGAGAGTCCAATTCCACTCTGACTGCATCGCACCACACTCCCTGCAAACACAATGTTACTGTCTATTCCCTGGTAGTAAGCTTGGGCACCCCCCTTCAGGTGGTTTTACTTTGTTTCAAAGATTACAAAGAATAGGTGCATGCAATGCTTTATTCTCCAAAGAAGAGATTTTTTGCTTTGGGACACGCAGCCATTTACCCAGGTTGGTGCTTCCAGTCCACTTGCATTTTGGAAGTGACTGAAGGCATGAGATGTGAATTACACATGCAGGTACCATACAGAACCATACCTGAACCTCAAAAAAGAGCGACTAAAAATGAATGTAAAGTGAACTACCATCATTACATGATCTGTATGGTGGCGAAGGCTCACAGCTAAGATGGTGTAGGAGAGTGTGTAAAATTTCTCTACCTAGGGACACACATGTCTCTAGACTCACCCTCTTGCTCCTTTTAGAAGTAGTTATGGCCAATAAAACAAGTTTCTGCAAGAATATCAAAACAAATGAAACCAAGTTTCTTAATATTTTTGAGTCTTCTGTCAGCTAGCAAATTTGATTGACACTGGTCATTAGATTCCACAGCCATCAGGGAAGACTGACAGAAATATTGGCGGACATACAGCAAGATCACTGAATTTCTCATTTACTTGGGAGATCAAGCCAAAAAATATTAAAAAGAAACCTTATGGGAAAGCTCTAACTACAACCGCTTTCAACTTTCTTATCCCAAACTTGCAATGTCTCATCTTCATCTGAGAATGAAAGTCTCTGTAGGTCATGTATTGCAGTGTCAGAGATTAGGATGCTATTTCAGTTTGATTCCAACTGCTTCAAAACCATACGTAAAGCTTACCATTTCCCCACAGCGCATCCTTGAAGAAGACAAGTCGTGAGGCAACACTGAGGGCTTCTGTGACTTCTGTACTGAGAACACATGATGCAGCGACTGACACAGCAACAACTTTTTGAATTATATGACCCACATTTTGCAATGTGGAGTCAGTCACAAACAACCAAATCTCTCTTTGATTTATAGGAACACTGTGTTTTGTCTATTATTAAAAAAAAAAAAAAAAAGATACAATTTGGAATGCAGTTGTTAATTTTTAGTAGAAGGAAAGACTACAATAACACCCTCATATTATAACTAATAAAACTGTCAGAAATTATTACATTTAGGGCTCATATAGGACAATGAATCAAAGCTTTATTGGAATTTTTCATTATTCCTTACTGCAGATACAAACACCTCTACCTTAAATTAACTTTCCGAGGTTGACTTACTGGAATCTTGGCTTTACCTCTATCAACTATCATGCCTTATCATAACTCACCTGGACTGTACTAGGGATTTGAAAATATATTTTATATTAAAAAATTATATCATATATACTTTTATATATACATATATATAAAGTTAATTGGCTGTTTCTATGAACAAAGACTTATATAATTTTTGCCTTAAAAAAAAGAAAGGCTAACACTACTACTAATATTATTTCTGTGTGAGCAAATTTTCCATGTACTCCATCTGACTCCCAAGAGCACCAGTCGTTGGCTAATAGTTACTGTCCAGTCCTTGGCTAATAGCTACTGTAAGCTACAAAGCCGGAGGTTTTTCTTTCTGTTGAACAAACATCTCTAAATATTTGAATGATGCATAGAAAGAGGAAAGTAGATAGCTCATAAGTAAAAAACATAGGAATCCACAATGACAATGTAAGTTTTCCACCTAAGAAAGGTATAAAAATATTCCAGTGTGCCTAAATTAAGGTATATTACAACTACTGATGTCACAAACAAAATACCTACATTTCATCTCAGGCTTCATATCTGAAAATAATTATCACAAAATTAATAGAGTTTTAAAAATTTTTCACACTGGGATGATGAACAAGACAGACTAGACAGCCATTATATACACATCAGTGCTTATTTCCAGGATCTCTAACAAAATCAGATGGGTTACAATTTGACGATTCATGCTTTTCTTCTTTTTTTTTTTAAACACAACTTTTATAATATCTGTTTGTGTATGTAAATTTTCCCATGCTTTAGAAAAAATAGGTTTAGTAACAAAGCATATTTCACATTTACCAGTCCAAGCAACTTGCAATTTTTAAGATTCTAATATTTTAAAATATTTACCTGAGATTACTTTCTTAATTTAAGATTTTTTGTTACTATTTTCAATTAGTCTGCTGATTAAAAATTCATACTTAAAACATTTAAATGAAATTAAAATACTGCAATGATTGGAGAGACACATATCACGTAAGTATTTTATTCTCAAAGTTGCATGTCTCTAGCATAAGGTAATGCAATGAGAAGCCAACTTTTTGTCTTCGGTTGAATTCAAACCTTGAGATCGTTAACCACACCAAAATTAGATTTTTTCATGCTAGCAGCTCTTAGAACAAATGTAGCAATTGTAAATAATGACTGGGAAAATTCTTAACTCAGATATTACGGTTATGCCTTAATACAATATATGGTGCCTATTGCATTGACGTTGTTTCTTTGCCTAGTAACTACATACATTCGAGTTCCTCCTCTGCATAGATAGCATTAGGACAGCTTCAAAGAAAGAATTTTTACAGCTGTCCCATGAGAATTACTAACACATTAAAAGCTGGCTTTCAGAAGAATCATCCAAAAATTAAATAATAATAACAGCAAAAATCACAAGTTAGTATAAAATCATCATCTAGCTATGTGTGACAATTTGTTCTGAACAGAGAGGACACAACAGACAAATAGCAGCAGGATTGAGTTATAAGGAAGGACAGCTCCTTAACCACAGATGGAATATATTTCCTCATATTCCTTCTGTACCACAGTACAGATTCTGAGTAATAATAAAAGCATATTTCCATTCCTCCTTCACACAAATGAAGTATCTCAGAATACTGTAGCTACATAGAGTAAATACTATTTTTTAAAGTACCTTTGAATTAGTTCATGTAGCAGATTATCTAATAACAATAAATCTGCAGAATAAACCAAATCATAGTCCCTTCCCCACCTATTACAACTCGATGATTTTGCGTGTGAAGGATATGTCCTTTTGGCAAAGACAACTGCAGTAAACAAGCCGCTGTTCATGACCTTCTTCTGGGAGGATAGGCAAGCAACACACTAACAGCAGGTAAATACCTTTACATTCCTAGAGCAGTTATCCAGAAGTTATGCTGAAGAAGAGTATCTTCTATTGCTTTTCCAAAATTACTTTCAAAAAATTTACGAGCATTCATGTTGTTCACTTATGAAAATATAGTGCTTACAGTTCAATAAGTGAATAGCCATTAAAAAAACAGCTAATAAACCTCCTCGTAGCAAGAAGAAATCATAAACATTTTTTTTTCTAGACAAGCTTCCATTCTTCAAAATCACATCTGTTCCTGCATGCTTCATCTTTTCTCTAATTTAGTGATGAAGTGCTTCTACACAAGAATACCGATGACCCACAGCATCTCAGATGTAGACATTCCTGAATACAAAAATGTTTGGCTAGGATACCACTAGTCTGTAATTTTATTTTATTTTTTAATAGAACAGGTTTCTTGGAAATAGAAATTACGCCTGTATGTGTCCATCTTTCTGTTAGCACCCCAAAGATCCCATCAAGCTAGCCCTAATTCCATGTTTGCAAATGCTCTGTTAAATTCTCACTTAGCATGGAGAAAACACAAGAGAGACCCCTCATCTTAGGAGTTAAAAGTACTCCCTGCCTAAAAATCAAATCATAACTCATTGGCTTTTGAAGCAGAAGGGCAAGACCTAAATTAAATTTATGTCTCACACTGGCGGGAAGGATGTCCAGCTATTTTGCTGGCCATTCTGGAATTTCTTTGTCTTTGGTTCATATGCTTTGATTCACACTTTGTTTCTTGTGGAGCTGATGGACAATTGCAAATTATTCTCCACCAGAATTCAGTGCTGGCTGTACTGAGGATCCAGTCGCCAGGAAAAAATAAATAAATCAGCAACAAAAAATTCCTTTAACTACTGAGGGAGTTAGCAACATTTTGAAAGAAAATTGCAGCGTCATTCAGAAACAAATAAATAAAACATAATTATAACCTTTCCAACACAGTATGGATGGCAGATGTATTTACCTAAGAGTTCCTCCTTTCTACTTACTGGACCATAAAAGCCAAATTTGCCTGAGGGGCTTCTATTAAGTCAACAAAAATAGTGCACACACTTGCATGCAAAGAGCAAAACTGTATTTTTATATAACCATCATCTGTTAAATTCTATCCCCAGACACTCAACTGACTGGGAACTTTTCGCTATGCATCCAAGAATAGCATTTAGCTATAAACCGAGTCTCAACAAACTTGCTGCAAGCTCCCTTACCTCTGGTTATATAGCAATTTATTCAGAAATAATTCACTTTCTAGACTGGATGGTATTGAAACTGGAGATGCAGTTCATTTTACCCATTCACAAACTTTTAGACCTGGTGATAATTCTGCTCATACAACTCTTGAAGATAATCCAGGAAGGTTTTGAGTTTTCCCCTAAACAAGATAAATCGTGGCTTCTTCACATAAACATGATGTTGATTTTATGTTGAATTCATTGCTAAGTGAAAAGATTACCTGCAGCCTTAGATACAGCACCCGCGCCCAAAAGCTACAACGTTCATTACAACCATCGATCTGAAAATAGTACAAAAACAGGGAATGAGACAAACACGATACCAGAAATTCAGTGGTACAGAGTATTTGTTATCTGACTTGTAAAGCAGATTACCTGAAGAATTTCCTTTAGACCATGAACAGCTGGTGGATGATACAAATTAGAAATCTGTTCTTCCTCATCCACTTCCACATGTATTTCACCAGACTGAACAGTAAGAATATAACAGAAGCTGGGAGGAGGAATATTAGTTGTCATCTATTAAAAAGTAAGGAAAAGAAATGTGACCTTAAAAAAGGCACTTTAATTTGGCCAGTCGGGTTTTATAGTAATAGCCGAAACAAACCACACAATTCACATTTTAAGAGGGATGGGAAAACAAAATTATATGGTTAATAACACTGACTCTCTGAAGTAGAAGCTGAGTTAATAAACTGACATTCACAAGTCATAAGTGAAATCAGCTTGTGCGTATCATTCTTTCCATAATCTGACATTGATCCTCATCACAAAAACATCTCATGATTTGGCACACTTGGCAAACACTTTGACTATTTCAGGGTGCTTGTTGTTGGTTTTGCATTTTTTTATTACATGGTAGGAGTGCCCTGTTGGTTTGTTTTTTTTTTTTTTAACATCCGTAACTTTTCTGAGATTTGGGGACTTTTGCATGTGGGTGGGTTTTTGTGATAGTAAACAGCTGACGAACTTTTAAAGCTGCCAAATTAAATCCAGGACAGCACAAGGAGATAATGAAGAACAGGAATGCAACAGCTACAAGAACTGCTCTCTTTGTGTTATGCCAGATTTTTCTTTCCCCCTTAAAAAGTACCGTGACGTAACAACTTTATCAATCACCACTTAAAGAGGTCCAAAACTAGAAAGGCTTCTCCGGAAAAAAAAAGACAATGCTAGAAAATAATTTTTATTGCGGATATGGTAAAATATTCTTCTAGCAATGTTTGTTGTTAATGAAGCATTTCATTTAATAAAAGAAATATGAGTCTATTAAAGACAGTTGCCCACCCATTAAAAAAAAATCTGCATAAGGAGGAAAAAAAAGCAAAAGACATCAAATCAAATGCTGTTTGCCTCTAACAGCACTAAAGAAGGTATTTGAATGTACATATGGCTCAAAAGAAATCAGTTCCACAGATCTCTTCCCTACAATATTATCAGTGTGCTGGCAATGTTATTTACGTACCTATGTATAAAACTGCTTCCATAAAACTGTGCATAAAACTATACTGTTTGTATCAAGAAAAAATGTATCTCAACTGAAAAAACTCCACTCAGCCAAAAACCTGCAGCAGTAGAATGCAAGTCTTGATCCTCTGTGGAATTAATTAATATTTCAAACCCGTAACAGAAGCGTAAATTACATGGTTATGGAAAGTTTCCTCCATTTTTAGATTGCTAATAAAATAGAGAAAATGAAGAACAAATGAGAGTCATAACAATGCTAAACAACATTTAAGAGCTTTGCTCCATCCGTGGATATTCCCATTCTGTTGTCCACAGTATTTTAATGCACAAAACAATCCATTCCTCTGAGACTTCCGAAATGTCTAGATGAAAGGGAGAGTCAAGGAGAGAACAGCCATTTCACTCAGTTTCAGTCTTCAGTTTTATATATAACGAAGGTCTGAACTTTATATTCTTCAACGTAAAACCCTGCACAATGCAACAAACTTCTCAGACTTTAGAAATAACTAGTAATAGCCACCCTTAATGTCCCCTGGTTTTGAAACTTTTTTATTTCCAGCTTTTTCTTCTTCTCTAGAATTTGCATCCTGATGGACTCCCCTAGGCAATAACATACATTTTTAATACTACAAACTTCTTCCCCAAAGAACAGCTATACAAGAACAGCAGGACATCACAAGCACTTGGTTATCCAGAAGCTTCTCAAATGACCTCGTATCACCAAAATGACACTTGATATGACAGAACTCTTTTTCAAATACAAAAGCTAATTAAAGGAAAATTAAAGATGCAGTTTTAGATTTGCAAATGTATAGTAACATACTTTAAATCCATTTTAATAACTCCCCACCCCCTAAAATCATAGAAACATTCATTACTTTTTAGTAGATTATTTTTGTGTTCATCCTTTGACTGTCTTCACATGAGACAAATATCAGTCAAAACCATTCTAACTAGTAAGAGACCTGATTCCAGCAGTCAGTCTGTCATCACAGAATTTAATCTTCAGAAAAGTGCTTTTGAATTTAAGGCTGAAAAGTGCTTCAAAGAACGAGTTAATATCCTTGTATATAGATTTCTCAGCTGGTTCCATGCTATCTAATACCTCTTTCCTCCTGCAAGGAGAGCAGAGGAATAATTTGTCTGGACATCCTACCATTCTAGCTCTAGAGGATTAATAAGGGGCTAATTGCATCATTTTGGAAAGATGCTGCTGATCCAGAGGGCTTCAGGTTAGCCTAGGAGGATGCCAGAACCAGTGAAACAAAACTCAGTAGCTAAAGACAGGGAGAGAGTCTGATTCCCAAAGTAAACACGATTACACGACCAACAAAAATAGTCGTTGTGAGTGAAAAAATACATTTCCATAATAACAAGACTTACCATTTCAGAGTCTTGACTTTGTCCAGGAACTTTTACAGGCACTACTGGAGGCCACAGACTGTCTATCAGACTAAAAAGTCCTAATGCCCTTCAAAAAGACCAATAAAATCAGGTTTAAAATGTTTTCCAGTGTTATATGTTATATTGAAAAGATTCATTAAGAAATACAATTTAAACCATTGCATGATAATGAAAACAATTTTAAATCATATTTGTTTTCTGGAAGCTGGTTTTGATTTGGTCTAATTAAGTCTCCATCATTTCTGCTGCAGGGTGGATAGGGAGGGAAGGGATGTATCACATTCAGTGACAAGCAAGTCATATTTAATCCCTTGTAGCACGAACAGCCTGCTACATGATAAAATTCAGGGGAACTGGGGTAAATGCTAGCTTGGGAAGGACACAGATATCAGTGTCCTTTAACTTTTAAAAAATAGCCTTTAACTATTTTAACTGATAGATTAAAAAAAAAGAAGCTTTGCTTCTAAGATTTTAATTTCTTGCTTTTCTCTGACAGCTGATTGGAACTGCTTTCAGGAAAGTCAGCAATTATCAGATATAAAGAAACAGGCAAGATTTTGTTATCTTAAGTACGCGTGCAGAGGACGGTCTCCTTCCTACACAGCTGCTCATTTAGTTACATTTAGTTTACATATTTTGCAAGTTACCCACTTTTAAGTTAGAAACAAACATAAAATTAACAGCCCAGCATATGAAGGTAAGACGCTGCAGACTCTTCAGCTTTAGCATGCAAAGCTGAAAAAGTGGCTGCCTTGTCAGTTGATACAGCATCCTTGCAGGACAGGCAGGAACATCTGAGGGAGAGGCCAAGAAAACAGCCAAGGGAGGGGAAATAGCTACAGATAACCAACTTGAAGAGGCATGCATTTTTGAGTTAAAGCTCTCAGTTATCTTGTCCTAGTTCTCTGTTCTGTTTAGTCGAAACAGAGAGATCTGGATTTTAACCCCACATTGTCTCCAAGATCGAGTTGTCTGTTCCTCCAATTAAGGAAGCCACTATTTCTGAAACAGCGCTAAAAAATGATTGCTAAAAGTAATATTAGCTTCTAAACTCAACTGTTCAGGAGAAGGAAAAGGCATACTCTGGTACAGGGCTGAAGCACGTTGCAATATGCTGCTTCTCTTCAAGGGGTCACAGAAACTCTCCTTTAAAGTTCTGCTTTTAGCTCACTTCTGCTTAAGCTTATTTATTTCTGTATTTCCCTAGTCCTTCTCCAGATCCTTAAGCCCTTTGACTTTGGGTGTCTATAGGCAGTGAACTTCTTCCCATGTTTTTTTGTAAAGCGCCGGGTATCATCTATGATTCAGTGTTAATAGTGATGCCTTTGGACCAGCACTGTAAGAAGTTTTATGAATGTAAATCTCAGACTGGATCTTGTGGAATAAAGCTTGTGGTTCACGATTCAGGTAACAAGCTGGCAGATGAAAGAGATGATGTTGCTATGTGTAGTCGTGTTCTCCACACTAATGAACAGACCAGAATCACGAAGTACTGCTCTTTTATAGAAATGAACTTCCTGGCTTACAGGGCATCATCACCAAGTCTGTAAAAGGAGAAGGCTGAGCTCAGAGGCTGGGGTTTTTTTTGTTTTGTGTTTTAACAGTGAGAACATTACAACATACAAAGCAACACTCCTTGGGTATTAAAGAGACTTTACAGCAAATTGACCACTTCTTGAATCCTTGATCAGGGCAACGTTTTCTGTCCTGTATCATGCAGAACAATATCCTCTCTACAGTCACAGAAGGGCCAATGCCTAGTGGAACAAACTGGTCTTGCTAACTGGGACATGAAAAGGGAGAGTTACAAAATGAGAGCACAGCCTTCCGTACAACTCGGGCAGTTACACAAGTGGCCTTCCTCACACGACACGCAGCATAAGGGCAAGGGCAGAGCACAGGTATGAACGTACCACAAACTCTGCATGTGTGTGTGTGCATACAGAGATCACGTATTTATCAACTTACAGCAAGTAAGCTATGTTGTTGCAGTGCAGGTATAATCACATCTCCACACAGACTGTACATTGATCCCTCATTTGTATTTTTAGATTTGCACAAGGGACATGAAGCTGTCCCTTATTCTTTAGCTCTCTTCCAGCTTGCTACCCCATATCAGAATACCTAAGACATACAGTACATTTTCTTCAATTACTTGTGTCCTTTTGGAGAAGGTCACCTACTGCTAGGACTAGGAGCACTTAATTATTAGTAAATGACAGTATTTGTTTACAAACAGGCAGAGAGGCAGTGTTGCGTTCAGAGTGTCTCCTGAACATCTTAGCCCCATCCTTTTCTTTGACACCAGCCAGGCCAATGGCAGGGACACTGGCCACCCGAAGGATTTGCAAGTTCCAAATCACATCCTGCCAGGATCCTTCTCTACCAAAGGGGATGTTCTCTCCCAAAGGGGATGTTCTCTCCTGGAGCTGTCACTGTATCTGTCAGTGCCCCTGGTGAGGAGCTCCCCTCTTGCTCCACCCATTTATATGCCTCCAAGAAAGTTAACTCTCTCTTTACACTTACGGACTTCGACTTAGCAGAAGGGGGAATGAGGTGGGGGCAATCACAGTGGAGAAATGGCAAGACATTGTGTCATCCTCTGTGGAAAATCATTACCCTTACAGAAAGCATAAAATTCATTCTCTTTATTGGCCAAGTAACACTGAAATCTCACTTCAGTCTGACTTGAACAATGGGTGTATTTTATCCAATATGTGTATCCTTCTTCAGCTATAGAGTCAGAACAAGATGAACAGTTGGCTCTTTGCTACAGTGAAGGGGCACGGTTAGCCCCCACGTGCACAAACAGCCTTTCTGGCTACAGAATACAAAATAAAAACTTTAAAATTTTGCTCCGTGAGTGTAATTACTAGTCACCATTTAAAAAAAAATTAAATTAATTTTGATCACAAAAGGACAGACTGCTAAAAAAGGAAAAGTACAGTAAGAAATGAGAAGAAACAGGCTCAAGAATAAAAAAAGAACATGTAAAGTATTTTGAATAACATTTTTTTATTTGCTTAACTTTGGTACGTCTTTTCTGTGTATCCATAAACGCAAACTGCCTGCTGCGTACCCAGACAGTAGTCAGAGAATTTTAAAGATTTCATATTCTTAAACATGGCTGAGAAAATGCAAAATATACATGCAGCGTGCATTTAACAAATTCTCTTAAACTACTCCATAGAAAAATAACTGGAAGACAGCGAGTGATACTAATAAAATAGCATTTACTTCTCCCTCCCCAAAATTCTCGTCATAGATGATGACTGTGCTGCCCTGTACAGAAGAAGCTGCTTTCATTTGCTCACCTAACCACCTTCCTTCTCAGTTTCACAGCTCAGCAGGAGACAGAAGTCACCTTCTGCTTCTAACCTTCCTGGCTTGTTTAGCCCTTCACTGCAAAGTCAAATGACATACATTCATATGTGCACACATGCATATACATGTTTGCTCTATGATTTTTGATAAAAACATACAAATCAAAGAGAAAAGCCATTGTAATTATATTTAGACCCAGTAAATTGATAAACCAGTATCTACAGTCTCAGTACATCTATTGTGATCCTTTAGAAATTTCATTCATTTCATACTACAAGCTATACTACAAAAATCAAACAACTTCAAATTTTGATTTTTCGAAACTGTATTTCACTGACTCTGATCTGACAACTTATCTCATAACTTACTAAGAAGATTTTGTCTTGCAAGCATGAAGTTTCATCTACAGTTCTGGTCAAAGAACTTCGTGTGTGACATGCTGACATGCCTGATTCAACTTTTTAACATTACAGCTTATAGTTTGGGGGATTTTTCAGTTTTTATAATCATAGCACAGGGGAAAATTATTACTGGGAGAAAATATCAGCAATATCAAAGAAAGCAGAAGGAAAACAATGCCCATAACTAGGAAAAGAAGGAAGACTATATAAGGTTTACAGTAGGGAACAGGAAGAAAGATGCTAGGATTCTCTTCCAACATCTTCCACAGCTTTGCTCTGGGGACTCAAGACTTGGCACTTCTCTGCTTCCTCCTCTCCTACTCTCCCAAGTTTAGTCTAAAACGAATCAGTTTTCTTTTGGCAGTACCAGTCTCAGTTCTTAATAGAACTCAAAAATAAAGCAATTCCTAGCCCTCTGTGAAACATCTTACTCAAAACTGAAAAGAAATTCAGTAATAATCACCTAGACGGCATAAGCTTCAACTATCAAAAGACAAGCAATCCAAATATAAAGTTGATACTGTAGGCTAGCTCTTCCTTTAATTAACCTACTAAGATCTTGCAGTGCACAAGATGCAACACTGTATTTTCTCAGACTTGAGTAATAAAAGTAACAAAATCATAAAGTAAAAATCTGAGCCTACTAAACCAGCATCTCAGTCAAAATACAAACAGGGAGGAAGAGTTGCTGGCTCTTTTTCCCTAAGTTTTGTTTAGATATACAAAATTATTTTGTTGAATAATTTATTTACATACTTTAATAACTCAATTTTCTATAGTACATTAGAAATTACATATACTACATTAAAACACTGAAATTGTAATATCAAATACTTTTGATTCAATATGGATTTGCCTATGTTATTCTCCAATGCTGGCTACTGAACAGATTCATGACAGAAGCACTGAAGATATAAGCAGCAGTCCGTGCTTATTAAAGAGAAGAAAGCTCAGGGAAAAAAGTTAATTTCTGATACATAAGCAGTCATCAAAAATAACAAAAAAGTAATGCAAATATTCAAAACTTCAATGTGATTACTGAAATTATGCTTTAAATGGAACTCAACTTTTAACCACAGCAATTACCGAAGTGTTTCAGGACCTCAAAACCTCAGAGACGTGGGTGGCTCTTTTAGATGGCAGCCTTTTTGGAGGAGGGAAAACCAAAGGAAGGAAGTTATGACTTCCTTGCTCTACGGAGGGTTCTTACTATTACATTTCCTGTCAACGTCTAGCAGTTGAAACATTTTCTTGTATAGCAGTTAGTGGTGGTCCTCTCTTCTGAGTGTAAACCAAAAAGAAGAGAAAGTATACAGTGAAAACTAGAGGAAAAAGGAGAGAGAGGCTAGAGAAGTATGGGACTTAAATAAAAACAACAAAAAAAGAAGAAACAAAACCCTCAGGAACAATAGTGACCAACACTACAGACAAATACAGGGAGATTTCACATTTCAGTGCCTAACATTTGAAGTTTAAAATGACAAACAACAGAAGCCAACTTTATTTGAAAATACGGAAATTTCTCAGAGAAACATAACACTGGTTAATGAACTCAATATTCAGAGTCTACTTACTTGAGAGGAAAATGCAACAGATAGTACAGCAAACTATTATGGAACAACCTGCCATGAATTAAAGGTTGGGTCATGTGCCAAAGCTTATGAATTGATGTATCCTTCAAAATATTTTACCCTATCCAAACATAAGTGTGGATTTTAGCACTATCCATGCAACAGTTGCATCTTCTTTTGAAACTTGTTAAGCATTTTTTTCAATTTAGGAACAAAATCGGTACTGACACCCTGCGTTAATTATGTATTACGTTAAAGCATTTCTTCCTCCCCCCTCCGTTTTTAAATTGGTGTCATCTTTCTGTTCTGCTGAACAGAAACGCTTCATATTTCTACCTTGTAAGAAACCATAAAGAGAAGAAGCAGGTAGGTCTGCTATCCTCAGCAGTAAAACAACTCGGTGCTTGGCAAATCACGTGAAAAGACACAAATTGTTGAAATCCAAATTATTATTCTGTGTGGAACTCCAGTCAGGGCTAAAACCATAAAATTGGTATTTTTTTCGATAAAGACAGATATCTAACTGCAAAGTTTATCCCAGCTTATTGAAATTAATTTCTGGTAGGAAGCAGCACACTATGACAATTTATAGCTTATTTACTCCTGAGGCATTTTAGTGAGAGCTCAGTCCCTGCATCTAATTGCATCCATTTAGTTACTGGTTATACCGGACGTACCTGAAACATGCTCGGATCTATTAAAATAGGGGAGTTACATCTTAGTTATACTGCATACAGATTCTTAACCAAAATTTCTGCCCCTAGCAGTACCACTGACAAAATCTCACTTCCTCTTTCGCAAGGGGCTGAATTTGTAAGACTGACATATGAGGTAGTGGGAAGACAAGAGAGAGAACATACACCTCTAAGGAGCCAACACCACCAGCGGCAGATCAATGAACATTTTTCAGTCTTCTCTCTTTAAACCACCATATCTTTCTTTTCTGCTGATGCTAAGCGTGCAGTTCAGGGAACAGTTGTAGGAAAGGCTAGGAGACAAGTATGAATGAGACGGTGAAGAGAAAAGGTGTCAAGAAACAGATACTGAACTACATACATGCTGTTACTTCAGCTGCTACAATACTGGTTCCTATCTTATTCAACAGCCTCGTGAATTCAACAGACTACAAGAACTGCTGGAAATAAGACACTGAACAAGCCATCACTGAACATGCCGTGACTCAACCATGCCCATCTGTCTTACAGGATTGCCAGAAACTGGACTGCAGAGGGAAACACCACTTCCTCTACTGGACTACAATGGGAAGGATTTCTTGCAGGGATGTTTTTGGGGAGTATGTTTTATGTGGGGTATGGGACTTGCACTGAAAACCATCTAAATTAATGAAAAACTTTCAAATGACCTAGTACAAGACCCTAGTACTTGTTAAAGCATATGGGTATTCAAAAACAACATTCAACATTAACAGGGTTTCTCTCAATGTAAGGTTACTATAATTCTAATTTTTCATAGGGTTGATCTTGGTCAAGACGGGACATGGTTGTCTAAGTTCTTATCCCACTTTTCTTTTGGAACACAAGTGTTTTCTCATTGGGAGAAGAAATGGGTTTAGCTTCTTTAGCACATCTTACAGTACAGGTCCGTTCCAAAGATCAAATCAGGTTTACAGCCAGGTTTTCGCCTGCATGTAAAATACCCTTTATTACAGGTTTTTAGTCCTTGAAATGCAACTTCAGCTTACAACAGTGATTTTAAAATTGCATTTACTGGAATGATGTTAAATAGCACTTTAAATTAAATACTTGATGATGAAGATGGATGATGGCCTGGAAAATTTTTTGAAAAATAAGTGGTCCATTATGCAAAAAGCTTGAGAACCTCTTTATCTGTTAAATGAAAATCTCCTCTGTCTCACGGAGGGACTGGAGAAGCACTCTGTCTCTATAAGACAGATTACAGTCCATGTGACTGTGGGACAACATGCACGTATAGGATCTTATTAGCCATTCCTGGCTTTCTCCAGATCATGTGCTTCAAATGCACAAAAAAAAAGTCATGACTTTTCCTTTGTATTTCCTACATTTTATTCCCTTTTATCCATTTTAAAAGCCACTGTCAGACTCCAGGAAACAAACAGTTTAAAAGCCATCTCCTTCTAAAAAGTAACTGGCATTCTCAAAAAAAAAAAAAAAGGCAGCAGTCTTCCTTGCAGGGCAGACCACATAGTTCTTATTCACTCATGTGCTGCAAGCCAAGGTCGGGCACTCACAGGCATATCCCATCATGTGCTCGGATATACCGCTGGCTCTGGAAACCCATTTATCCAGTGGCAATGAGTTCTACAGTCTAATTATGCTCTGTGTGAATAAGTACTCCCTTATATTAATCTCAGCTATGGCTTTACTGTGGTTTCCATCACACCTAGAATGACACAAAACGTGTCCCAACACTTAAAAGTAATAACAAGTTATAAAGCAGAACTTAGGCTAAAACAATTAAGAAAAAAATAAATCCCTGAACAATTCCCCCACCCACCCATCTTGTACAATGAAATCACGTTTTAACCACTGCACTGTCCCTGAAGCTACACTAGCCTTTTTCTTTTAATGTTTCCTAGCAGGGTTACCACCAGCACAGCTCCAGCTGAGCCACCAGCATTTTCACCAGTGTGTCTTCTAATCATCCTCAGAATAGCCAGAAGTAAGTTACTGCTGCTTTGAAACACAATTTACATCAGAAAAAGTCTGTCTCTTATTAGCCAGGCAGAGTACTGGAAACACCAGCAGCCAGTTGTAAAACTTCATTTGTATCCAGAATTCCAACGCCATTATTTAATTTGTTTGGAAAAAATGTAACTTGAAAAAAAGGCCAACAAAATAATTAAATAAGAAGACGTGTTTGTTATTAAAGAACCATAAAAATGCAAGTAGGCTTGAAATCCAAAGGATCTCAAAATTAACACTGCAAGTACATAAAAAGAAAAGCATACTGAATAGTGCTGGCTGGAAAACAACAATTCCATTTTGCTAAACATTTCAAGGCTTTGAAATTTGTTTTTGTTCCAATATGAAACAAAAATGAGACTTTCTGAAAGTTTTCATGAAATGAGAATGAGAGAGAGAATATTCACTCCCTCTGGACCTGAAAAAATCTTCCCAACAAAATTGTCTCCAAAATAGATAATGTTTCCATGAAACATTCTGGTTTTGATGAAACAGCATTTTTCAACAGGAAAAAAAAGTGTCAGCAGAAATATCATAGCCATTCTAATACCAAAGGCTTATCTAGATCGGATGCTTGTACGCATAAATTATGTTGAGAATTGAACCAATCTAATTATATTTATACAGGTCCCCATGTGAACACCATACGACTTTCCTTAGAAAGATACTCCATAAGATAATGGATTTATTTAAAGGTTTTTTTTTCTTGATTAAAGATATTTCATTTTATTCAAAGAATGTAAAAGGAATCACAGAATAAGCAAAATCTGAGAGGTACCATACGTCAATTTGTTACTTGTCTGGGGGGATTTTTCTATAAACCTTATTCCAAAATAAGAATGGCTTTACGATTTGTGAGGTTTTTTTCTTTTTAAAGAAACTTAAACCGTGCTTCCAAAACCATATAGGCTTAACTGAATTAAGCTCTCATATACTAAGGGAAAGTCTATGCTTGAATCTTCAACCCAGGCTGGGCAGCACTGTAGAAAAACATACTGTAATAAACAGTTCTGCAATGAAAGGGAGGTGGACTAATGTTTTTAAGTCTTTGAATCTACTTAAGAGGAAGAAAACACTCATATTTTATGAAACATTGCATACAGTAATTCTTCTCTATCCCTTGGCTCTGCTAAGTGTGTATTTGTGTGTTAGTTTATTTATGCTCATTTTGGAGTATGGTTGGCTCAAGTACTATTGGACACCCCAAAAATGGCAATGAGGACATTTAATTGAACAAAGCCCGATTCAGTTGTTCCAAAGAACATCGATCACAGAAATAAAAAGGCAGATCATCTCTGCCTGCCACAGCATGCAGTACATTCTCCCATGAATTGTCCTCACCTTCCTCTTGTAGTTCTTTGCAAAATTTTCATTCCAGCTAGGCAGCAGAATTTTCCTTCCCATCTCCTGCAGTACTGCTCAATGTCATCTGCAGAACTCAGAGACTGCAACTGCACTTCACTGAACATACCATAGGCATCCTGGACAAGGAGGCATAACCTGCAAAATATTCCTCTGTTACTCATTGGCTCCTGTTCATAACAAACTAGTTAGCAAATTTCTGAAAATTACATTACAAGCTTCAAAATAGGGCTTATCCTCTACAATATCTTGAGAATTCCTACCAAATAACGAATACCTGTATCAATAAACAAAACCATTATTGTTAAAGGTTTTCTCATGTATATTTTGCAGGAGCTAACAGGGCCATGAAATAGAGAAGCATGACTGAAAAAAAGTGTAAAGGGCTTGCTCTGGGGATTAGATCAACTAATGGTGACGCACTATGTGGTTTGTGTACCTATAAAGAAAGAAGGTTGAGTTTTTGCCTAACTTGAAGTGAATTCTGCAGTGCAGACAGAGCAATGATGAAAACGTATATGTGTGTGTGTGTATAAATATAAAAATTCTGCTTAGAAGTAAACAAAGCAACATATTTCACAAGTAATAATCACCAACATTGAAACTGGCAAAGCAAGCATTACATTTTCTATAACTTTTTTTAAGAGTCCTGAAGATGCAAAGAAAAGTGAAATGTCAATTTTTCTTTAAAACAAACAAACAAACAAACAAAAATCCAACATGAAACTACAGATTAGTACTTTCAATATTGGGTATGAAGAAGCCCACAGGAACTATTTTAAGGAGGTAATTAAAGAACCTGCTAAACAAACAATTTGATTAAAGTAATCTGTGGAAGTAGGGGCTGTAGGTCTGGGAAGGATTGCTTAACCAACTTGCTGGCATTTCGAGAAGATATTACTGTCAGAGCAGATAAGGCAAAATCAGTGGATGTCATACATTTAGATAGTCAAAAATGCATTTCACAAGATTCTGCACCTGAGATGAGCAGCCACGATAGCATGAGTCATGCAGTGCTGGAGGAAGGAGGCTGCTGTCTACAAGATTGGTTTAATTGCCCCAGAAAGAGACAGTTAAGCATGGAAACTTTTCAAAGGGAGACAAAAATTACCTTTGAGGATAGCACACACTTCTTTATTTCTAAATAAAACTCAGGGGTGCACTAGGCAGCAGAATTCACTTCATTTCAAAGGTACATGCCCAAACTACCTTCTCCAGAGCAGTACCATTGTTCACAGCAAGCTGACTCCAACTGCTTTTGGAGGACATCATACAACATCTTATATGCATCCTGAACACATTCTACAGTAGTCATTATATCTTTATAAAACACATTTTAAATGAAATGAGCTCCTACATTTCTCTGGAAGAAATCCATGTATTTCTTCGCAGGGAAGCTTAGGCACATGGAAGATCATTAATCACAGTTTTCTTGTTCATTATGAACTGTCTAACTTTGGCTTACACCCTTGAGAGGGCTGTATACGATGTTCGACATAGGATATGACTCCAAAGCCTTTCAGACATCAGCAGCTGTGTAAGCATCAGCTGAGAGTCCTCATTTTTCAGATTCTGGTGCTGGTTTTGAGGAGCAGGGAGTGGTAGGACTGAACACAAATGAAGGCTCCCGTATTTTCCCCGTATCTCTAGCTACAAGGGTCCCACTGAAACAGAGTCTTCACCAGGCAAAGAAAGCTTAGGTACAATTCCTCCACAGCCTGCCAAGGTTAAGAAGTCCTTTAGAGCCACGAAACACTGCTTCTACCCAGAGCAACGACACATAGGAGGAAACCAAACGCTGTTGTGACGTGTAGGCTGGAAAGATACATACCCTTATCTCTGGGATGAGTGGTGTTGCCAGCCTAGAAGGCGGGTGACTGTCCTAACAATACAAACCCGTGTCTTCAACAGCTCTGTCACTTTTTTAATTTTCTGTGTAAAACAATCCGTGAGATGCCTTCTGGATTTGTACCACAAGATCATCTCCAACTCAACAGAACAAAGACTGATGTGCTATGAACATGACAGCCCAGAAGCAGAAAAACTATGGTTGCCAGTCACTTTCCATGTTAGGACCTTGCAATTGGTTAAAAACTCTCCCGAGTTTTAACTGATTGGACTGAAACTCCTCATGCTATTGTCTTGTTTGGAAAAGCAGAGCTAATATGCTCTGGACGTTTCTGAAAATCAGATTGAGGGGAACAAGAAAAACAAAGCAAACAGTTTTGTCTATGTTAACAAAACATTCAGTGACTGTTAATTGTGAAAAATTAGGCCTCCATATCTTGGAGCAAGCAAGGGCCAACAGAGTTAGCGTCTCAGATCTGATCAGTTCAGCAGTCTCTTAACTGATCACTGGAATTTCTCATATCTTTAGTGAGACATAACTGAACGCAAGTAAGTCTCAGACTAGCTGGCACCAGGCTCATATTAAGTCCTCTGGGACATGTTAATTGCCCAAGTAAAATTAGCTTGGTTGGTGCTGAAGACATCAGTCACTAAAAGTGCATTTTCCCAGTCCTTTTAAGCCAAGCAAAGAGATGGCTGCTGTCAGACATGGGACTTTCAACTCTCCGCATCCCTGGCCGCATATTTCCATCCCTTTGTGGTGGCAGCATAAATGGCTAGGATAGGAAACTGATCTGACCAAAACAAATGCTGTACCCAAATAATCATCATCATCACCACCGTCATCAGATCAGCTCCTTGAAAATTAACTCTGTACAAGTAAACTCCTATTTGCATGGAGTACTACTTCTAGACAAGGATGTATTTTCCAGGCAGGATTAGGAGGCTAAAGCTCCCACTCCAGCTGTCTAGTGTATGTAGCACAACATCCCAGGTCATATGATGGGAGAACGGTCATCATATGACCAAGCTCGATATACAGAAGGAAGAACTGTGTAACTTGAGGCTTATATCACTAATGTTCCCAATCAGACTAGTAACGCGTTCATGATTATTGGCATCATGAAGAAACACAGAGCAGGAGAACCTCTTGCACCAGACCCCAAGTACTCTTGCTCTATTAGGACCGTACGTGTGAGCAGACATCCACTATACTACACTTGTTCTAACGGTATCCAAAAGGTAGTTACGATTTCTCTGCAACATGCATTTAAAATGAAATGTATATATTCACTCACTTGGAAAACAGAATTTCAGAAATAATCTTCAGATGCCCAATTTCAGACTAAAAGAGAGAAATATCCCAAACTAACGCTATGAAGAGAACTTCACAAACGCATGTTCCCTGCTTCAGCACACTTTTAAAACAGCATGAATGAATGATGACAAAAACTCGAAATATTCTCAACATAATTTGATCTGTCTCACACTGATTTAGTAAGTAATGCTATAGGTATTTAATGATGAGTGACAACTGATTTTCGTACTTAACGACTATCATGAAATCAGCTGAATCCCACAACAGACTCAGAGATGCATTTGGAGAACTATTTTCATGTTCTCTGAAACCGGTTCTGTTCTTACGGATTTTGCACATGCTATTAGCATCACTAACAGTAGTTTCATTGCTTTCAGAGGCTGTTGATTCATGGCCTTAACTTCCACACCAGCATTGTTTTTTTCCTTGATTTCCCTTTATTCCCAGTAAAGTGCATTTATATTATTTTCCCATGTTACAGCATTGCTCTCATATTGCAGCAAATGTTCTTGCAAATTAAGTTTTAGCAGCAAGTCTAACTGTGATTAAAGCAACATCTTGTCCCATGATTCTTCTCCCCTTTGAAGCTCACTACCAGGATGAAAACCCACATCTAAATTATGAGACAAGCTGCAAATCCAAAATGAGTATTTGCTCCCAGGAATTCAGCGTTTATATTTTGTGCATATCTACCACAAATACTTTTTTTCCATAAAATGCAGTGTTTGTAATGAATCAGTTAATCAGCTAAAACATACCTTTACCAATGCCTTGTCAGAATGCATAGTAGTGAACGGTTAAAAAAAAGGGCAAGATCACCATTTTTATCAGCGGTGCTCATGTAGGGAGGAAATAAGGACCAGCTTTATTTTTGGGACAATAGGAGGCAACCCTGTGTAAGACCTGAATTTAAAATATGGTTTTGGAAACTGAAATTTCTCATGCAAAGGAGCAGAGGGGTGGCAGGAAAGCCAGTAGAGGAGTGAGTGTGGGAGATGCAGACTAAGGAAAAGGTGAAGTATGACTCATTGGTAATAACAAAGGGGGCGAAGATAGGGACTGATAAGAAGTGAGGCAGAGATTAGCCTTTTTTTCCTTCCTTTTTTTTTTTTTTTTTTTTTAAAGTAATGACACAGTAAGTCTCATGCAAAAGCTTGGGAAGATTTTGTTAATTTGCTAATAGCCAGGAGCAAGGATGGGGGCTGGGGGAAGATGAGACTGATTACTCTGCATTATTTCTACAACTGTGCTGATCTTTAGGACAAAATGTCTCCCAGTAGAAATCTGGAGAGGATTACAGGATTACTCTGCCATGCTCTTCTCCTAGTTAGTCACTCCTCATGGGTAAAGGGTAAAGCCTTCTTTTACTATTACTTTTTTATGTATGAAAAATCGTATCTCTCCATACTGCTGCTTTGTATTGGGCAACAGACTTTCTGGAGAGGTAATAGTGACAAAAACATTCTTCAGCTTTGGTCACCTCCAGCCTCCTCAGCGGCTAGTGGAAAAGAATACGAAAAAGGAGATCTGCCTGTGGAGGAGATGAGAGTGCATGAAGGCCAGAACTGACTGATGACACAGATATTGCCTTTACTGAGTCTTGTGAAAACAAGCAGCAGAAATTTGTCATGAACAGATCTTAACTAACAAATAATTGTTTTACCCTAGGGTAGGAGGACAACCATGTGGCCCACAGCAGCTTTTCTCCATGCATAGCTAAGCTGTGCAGTACGGCATGAGGAGCAGACAGCCAGGCAAATGCTACCACCTTCGCAGAGCTCAGCAGGGACTTCATTAATTACTCTTTTGTTGGAAGGGAGGGAAAGGGGAGAATGGGGAAATGCCTGAAAACTAATTGAATTGTATTAGCTCTGATATTTGCTCATTTATCTTAACCATCCAAGAGACAGCTGCTGCTGCTTTGTTTGTCAGAAGGACTTATCTCTTTGAGGTGCGGTCCTAGCAGAGGCATAAAGCACACGTACATAAACACACATA